CCACGGCAGATTTCATAAACAGACTCATGTCAGAGTGTAATTCAGCTTTGGCAACACTTGAAACATGTATCGAGAATGCTGCTATTAATCTACTTGGGTCTGCATGTGGTTGTTTCAAACCAACTGTCATTTCAAAGTCACTCGCCGAGTTTGTAAAGGATGCTATGAAGAATGATATAAACAATTTAGACATGCATTTTGTGTCACGCCCATTTGATAACCCTTGATTTGATAACCCTACCTATAGCATAGACCCTATAAAGTCCCCAGAAGAACTGAAGCAGAACACACCGATCTATTACGAATGCAAAGATAGTAGACAAGAAGGGATTTTATGCACTGCCTGGAAGCAATATTACGTCTCAGCGGGCAATACTATCTGCAGAGAAGATTCGCCATGCGGTCTCCATGGAGAAACGTACAGTTGGTGTTACACAGACTATAGCAATAACTGGGAATATTGCTGCACTGGTGTATGTGATTACCAAGGAGAAGATTATCGATGGTGTAATTCTGGTTCTACATGGGCACACTGTAGCTACTACAATGACGGCCGAGGTGTTGGCAACAGAGACGGATCCATGGCCCCCTCCAAACGCATGACGATTCATATCATCTGGATTACGCATAGCTTCTCTGCGATTTACGCTCCGTAATTTTAAGCGTAGCTTTTTTGTATTTTCATTGTATAAATACTACACTAATTTGAATTTTATAATTACTAATACTAGAAGTGTTTCCTTTACCTAAATCACTTTCCAATATCATTCGAAATAAATGTTTCAGAATTATTTTTTCATTTATTGGTCAAACTCCTATTATGCACTGCAACGTTTTAGAGAAGAGCATAAATAACTTCCAGTGCAACAAAAGCATCTCTTTAACTTTATAAATTTCAATAATGTCATTTAAAAAAAAAAAACGTTCCAATGTTAAAATGTTGTGTCTTTGATTAGGCACTGATTTGGAACCATCATTTTAAATTTTATAAATTCTTACGAAATTTTAGTTTTGTTGAGAGTATTGTATACTATCACGTTATAAAGAAGTTGCGAACAGTTTTATTTTATTAAGTTTTTGGGTTTCTGTCAAAGAAAATGTGGGTGTATAAATGAGACAAACAGCTTAAACATGTAACTAGGGTAGCGACTTTACGTTCGCACATTCGGTTCACACGTCGGTTGACTATTGTTTAGAATTTATTGTTTAGGGTGGAGATTATAAACATAATAATAATAACTTTATTG